CCCTCGCCCGCTTGGCCTCGGGTGCCCTGGAGTTTAGGCGAGAGCTTGGCCTGGCCAAAAGGCACAGGGCAGGGCTGCATCAGAGATGCTGCAGTCCTCGTCACCCTCCCGCAGTGCCCCTCAGTATGTCCCGGGGGTTGGCCTCACTGGGGCTGCAGCAGGGAGGCTGGTTCCGGAGCAGAGCGTGGCCTCCGCGCCGCCCCACCGCCTCGGGACCTGTCGGGATGTGCTCCGGTTTCGTGACTCGGGGTTCTTCTCTGGTGACCCAAACCAACGTTCTCCAATGCGAGGATTGTTGGACCTAAGCAGTGTGCCAAAACATAAGTGGAAGGATTTTATAACAGTGCTGCTGCTGTCTGGCCAACTTAGGCTGACCCTGTGCTGAAGCCTCTTGGATTCTGGCTGATTTTCTCCTCTCAGCTCTCCTTCTGAGAGCATTTTTACATTCAGCTCAAATTCTTTCTTCTTCTCCTAAATTACAGCCTTAAAACTGCTACCCAAAATTGCCGGCACTGGAGGAGAAACGCCAACATCAGTGATTCTCACATTGTCTCTAAAATCATCACTGGTACCTCTCCTCCATGCTTTTCCTGGCAGCACCACGGCTGAAAACCCTGTGCAAATGCATATTCATAAATTACTCCGAGGCCCTCTGTCGCACAAGCCAACTCGAGCTTGCCCGCCTATAAATCCTCCTTTGAATTCGACCCGAGTGTTCAGCGCGACTTGCACCGGTGCTGTCTCTAATGGAAATGAAGCGTCTCTTCTAAACAAAATCTGACCCCACCACACAGCACGACTTACCACATCTCTGACTATGATGGAAATGAAGCTGCTCATCTAAACAAAGTCTGACTAACAGGACCAGCCTAAGGAGGGCTACTCATAATGCAGTGCTCAGTTACACTAGACAAAATTAAAAATAAATGTTTGCCGCAGGCATGTTGCTGCCTACTCAGTACCTCAGCAAACAAATGTTATGGTGATGATAGGAGAAGCAGGTGATGAGAAAGCACATTTCAGCAATCGCCAACTTTCTGAAACTCAACTGCCCTGCAAACAGCAGATCCTCCTGGATACCCCAAGATGGGCGGCAGTTTTTTGCTGTTGCAAAGGTCCATCAGAAACGTGGGCAGGAGGTCAGAGTGTGCGCCCCAACTGTGGCAAGGCAGGGGCCGAGCAGGGCTTTGTTGTGATGGTGAAGGGGAAAAGGCAGTGGGTCCCTTCCTTTGCCTACTAGGAACCTTCAGAAGGAATCAATATTAACCCCAAAATCATGAAGTACACATTGGCAATGGAAATTACTCTCCGAGATAAACTCCTGGCTAGTGCAGGCTACAACAGAGCTGCTACTAATAGAGTTTTAAGGGTTCGACCCATCTCTGCTGATCAGCCCTAAGTCACTCTTCTGAAGGAAACTGAGTTACTGCGTGTTTACACCAATGAACAGAATCTAGCCCGTTATATTTAATGAAAGGAACAAAAACTCCAAGTTTGCATTTTCAGTTAAGTTGTTACTGCTTTTTGGATGCTGTTCACAAGGTAGTAGAAGACACAGTGTTAGAAAACTTACATTAAGAAAAAAAAAAAGGATTCCAGATTCTTACAGATCTTAATAAAAGTTTCATTCTTCAGCCTGGAACATAAAGGAAGTCAAGAGTTCTCATAACAAGGATGCTACCAGCTATGATATTTGGTAAGTAAAATCTGGAAACAAAGCATAATTAAAATCCCATTCTTATATTTACAAGCTTCTGGAGCATCACTGAGCCTACAAAGCACCACAGAAATGTCCTGGTTTTAACCTTTCCATTTGCAATGTTGTCTCTTATCAGGAAATGCATCAGAGACTTATTATCCACACAGCGGGAAGGGATAGGAAC